TGCTGTCCTGATGCTGCCATTGGAAGCACTAAAATTAGGAAGCTTCCCTCTTCCTGGAGAGAACATTTGCTTTAACAGGAGAGTAGTGTTTACTCACCCTTTTGCCAGTATTAATTCCTTCTTTCACTCCCCAAGAGGATCAGTTTCTCTATTAAGTCAGAGCAATTTATAGAGTAAAATTCATAATAACCTGTGGTGGTCTGACTCTGATCTCTTAAGATGTATGTGTGCCTGAGACACTTCAGAGCAGTTAGCTGGAACACGGTGACTGCAGATTTCTGTGCACTGTGGGGGATTTCTGCAGCATTTCAGGTTGCTGCCACTCCTTGTGAATGCAGTAGTTCGTCCGGATGCTTAGAAAATGTATTTGGATGATTTCTCCTTTTTTTGTAGACGGAGGTGTTTTTTTTTTTTTAACCATACAAAGTAAATTACAAAGCAAGAACTGACTTAAAACTGGCTGACACAAGCTGGATGCTTGTGGTTTCTTGCTATCTCATTAACCGAAAACAATACTAAGATGACATGCAGAAGAGACCGGTGGTGCTTACTTCTGATACCATCTTCAGGGGAAGGAAAGTGAAGTGATTTCAGGGTGTCTTTGAAAATACCATCCTTTGGTGCTTTGTGAACTGAATATGTGCCTACAGATTCTTGCTTACAAGAAATAAACAATTAGGAGCTCGCTCTGTCTGCATGATGATGAACTTCTCTTGCAAAAAAATTTGAAGCAAATAGAACAGGCCCCTATACTGATAGAACACTAATGAGTGTTTCCTCCTGATTTTAATACGACAACGATATAATCAGTAGATTTTTTTTTAATGGGATCAGGCTTTGTTTCTCAAGGCATAAGGAAAAATAAAATTACATGCATGTATGCACCATGTGGGCAGCAGCAAAGGAGATGTCATAGGAAGTTCTCATCCAACTGCCAGAGGAGCAGCTGTTACAGCTAAATTTAATTTGTTGAGCTTCAGGAGGAAAAAAAAAACAACTATGGGCTGAAATTATCAAAGTCATTTAAGGTTTTGGGCACCTAATTCTGCAGTTTGAAATCTAATAAGCTATAATGTTGCAGATAGTGTTTCAGATATGTTGTGCAGAAACATTGTCTCTCGTGGATACTCTTTCCTGGTAACCTGCTCTATAATTTAGAATAGAACAGATCTAAAAAAATATTTTCCTTTTAGGACTTCCATTGCCAGACCTTACTTTGGGAGATTCTCCTAGCTCTAAATTTTACAATTGTTGCTGCATCTCTCTCTTTTCCAGATGGGATGAAGATGCTTAGTCCTTCTTCAGTTTTCTTTTTTCTCTGCTCTTAAGCAGATGCATTAGGTGTCCCAGATGAGATAAATAGAAAGTCAGCGCAGATGGAAGGTAGAACAATGAGTGAGGAGCAGATCTTTGTATTATCTAACCCAGGTAAGTAAATCTGGAGGACTACGAGTTTTTTGCACACTTTGCTAGACGAAATGAATTATTACGAAATGAAGTTATTTGGCAAATTCTGTTGTACATTTGCAGTGGACATATATGGATAAGCCCCTTGAATTAGACATTTACCCTTGAAGCGCTTCTTGGGTGTGGGAAGTTCCATGTTTTCACTGCCTGCTCCCTCTTCATAGCACCATTATTTTGCTTGTATTTAAATTCCACACGCTTGTGACTGAAAGAGGGAATGAGGTGCTCCCTCTCAGTGGGCATATAAGGATAGCATTATTCCTCCTACTGACTGTGTGCAAGACGAATGTCTTGCTGCTGAATCACTCTACAGGCACCGTAAGGATCCTTGAAAATGTATAGCTCTTCCCTCTGCCAAGATTTGGCAGCAGGAGAGAGCAGCACCATCTTTTTCTCATCTCTTAGCCTGTAGTGTGGAGGGTGAGTAGATTTTTTGTTTTTTCTTTGAAATAATATTAGTTCCTCCTGGGCCCATGCTACAACTGTCATTGCTTTAAGTCCAGTGAAATTCTGTGTCGAATCTGTATTAGGATCTGTTGGAAGGGCCCTAAATATCATTGTACTGCAGAAGAGGGTTTGTGTGGGACTGTTCCTACCTTAAGATCTCCCACTCACAGTCTTCCAGAGCAGAGAAACAGTGAGCGCTTGGGACTTCTATGAAATTCCCCATTTTGTAACAGGTTTTGTAACTGTGGAGGAAAACTGGCTAGGAGCAATTGCTGTCTTGCATTGTCTTTTAGTTGTGTTTTGTGTTTTTAAAAAAGAGCAAAAAACAACAAAAAAAAACCCGTGCCGGTACTTTTAAAGACCAGATGTTCAACCCTTCTGAATGCGCTTTTTAGACAAAGTCATAACACGGCACAGGTATGTGATTTGATTCTTCAGCCCTGTTCTGAACCCTTCTGGTCTGGCTGGCCCTTGAAGTGCCTATGCTCATCTTAAAGTCTATTACTTGAACGTTTAGATTAGTGCTACTTCTTTTTAGTGTATCAGTTGTCAATCTGCTCCTCCTTGAAACAGCTGCTTGGCCTGTTGCGTCAGCTGGAGTCTTGATTACATTTGACATCAGTGACCTCCAAAGACACTCTTGCCTGGAATGGCAAGGTTTCGGAGAAGATGGGCATCACCACTGACATAATCTGAGCGCTTGCATGTATTATTTTTATGACTATATTGTGCTAATAAAAGTCCCCTTTGGCTGTAAGGTGTGCTGATCAGACTATTCATTTCACATTGTATTGATAGTCTTTGCTTTCATACATGGACATAAAATATCCCATCACAAATATGGTACTCGATATGCTGCTACTCAATATGTAGCTAATAAATATGTATCAAAGGCTTGCTCCAGAGCCCACCGTTTTATTGATTGTAATATTTGCTATAGTCAGTAGTTTCATGAGTGTTATCACTTCTTTCTGGGATTACTGCTTATTTCTTAGATGGGTCCCTAGGCTGTAACTGCTTCTAGTCATACACTGAAATACTTCAGAGGCTGATGCTGAGATCTCAGTTTCCACAGTAGCTTCAGGTTTGCCCCCGGCACAGGATGAATAGATTGCTGTGAACACTAAGGGAGACTTGAGTGTTCTGGGATCTTTCTTTTGGAATAAAATCAATTTGCTGGTTTCAAAATCTCTGTTGGCTCCAGAAGCTGTTGTGCTCTATTAGTTTTTCACATTTTATTTTTGGCTGTATGGATTCTTTCACATAGAACAAGACTGGCAGGGATTGAAAAGATTAACAAGGGGAAAACAGACTCACCACTGTGAACGGAGCTTCTAGTGCACCAGGGCCTTCAAATAGCTTTAGTGATGACAATAGCTGAAGCCTAGTGAATCAAGGATAGTGCTACAGAATCCTAAAACTAGCTTCTATCTAGCGCAGTTGAAACTTGCTAGTGCTCCAGTTGGGGGGGGGGGGGGGGGAAAGGAAATCAAGATTATTAAAACAAAAAACAGGATGCTTTGATTTAGTTTTTTCAGTGCTGTTTCATCTGTGAGCTTTCCTCCAAAAGGCTATAGCAGACTGAATGGCCATTAGTTTGAAGGCAGGGGAAGAAGGGGTGAAATGAAGCTGAGAAGGAAAAAAAAAAATTCAAAGTAGTAGCCTCAGATAAGCATATCTCCATGGTCTGTAATTGTGAGATATTTTAAAAAGTAAGACAATTAAGCCTTAAGTTCTTAATTATGAAAACACATTGGCAAATGTTTACTGGAGTCAGTGAGGCACAAATGATGACTATCATGTATTTCACCTAGTTTTTTACAGGAATGAAATGTATCCGATCATGGTGCATTTATCTATGTGTATGTGTGTGTGTATCTGACTGTCACTCAGTTCCTTAGGTAACTTTTCAAACCTTTGGTCAATTTTAGCCAACTGTGACCTATAGTAGTCTCAAAGATACTACACTCCCATAAGTATTATGTATGGAGGCAACCAAGTGAAGGAGATGAACTGCAGTGGAAGAGAAGGCAGCTCGCTCCTAGTCAGTCGTCAGAGGAGCTACCCAAGAGGAAAGATGCCACACATATCCGGCCGCTGGAGGAGCTGTGACCAGAACGGGCACCACAGAGCACCTTGCACTTGGGATTTCCCTCTCCCACAGTTCTCTCCCAGCTGGGAGAGAGCTTCAGTGGCAGCCATCCCTCCTTAGTTCTGCTGCTCTTGCAACAGTTATTTTCCCTTTTGAAGTCTATAGTGGCGTTGGGCATAAAAGGGAAAATAGGTTGTGCCCATACTAGGTTTGGGTTTGGGGGGATTTTTTCAGCCATGTCACTTATCGTTTATGGTCCTGCTATATATGGACTCTTCCACAGCAGGCCCTGTATTTTCAGGACCCTGTGCCGTGTGACACAAATTGGGAGTTTCTTTCTTCTCCCTTCCGCCTCAACTTGTGACTCCACCTGTACCTCAGTGGATCCCTGCTTGTTACTACTTCCTAGACAATGTTGACTGTTCTCTTGTGTCTTTGAGGGTCCTGCCTGCTGCCCAAACCCATCCTTGACACCTTCATACCCCAGCAACTCTCTTATAAGTGTATTTCTTGAGCTTTAGCTGGAATAGTCATGGAGGGGAGTTTCAGAAAGGATAGTCTGACTGAGGCTACATTGTCTTCTCTGCAGCTTAGGGAGATCAGATTGTACTTACTGCTGTATCGTTTGCCAACCCCTTCGGCCCATTTTTATTCTCTCCCTAACGCGTGGGTTGTTCTGTGTGCATGCATAGAGGCAGCATGACCTAATAATATGTAATTTCTGAATAGAAACGCATGTGCTGGCACCACTTTTTTTCTGTGGAAGTTGACCTGTGGTAAGTTAGAGCTATAGAAACAAGGGGGTTTGGTTCACCTGTGCAAAAAGTACTGAGAGCTGCAGCAACTGGAAATACTGTAGCTTCTTATTTTGAGTATTTTTGCAAGATTCTGTTTAATATTCCTTAAGCTGTGGAATAAAGGTAAGCAAACATAAGTAGTAAAGCTCTGATTTTTATCTCTTTTTAAAAAGGTTAAAATCCTGAGTGAGCTGTGAGGCTCTAAACTGAAGACAAGATGGCTGCTTGTTCTCATTGCTGCTGCTGTTGCTTGCTACTTGTGTTTGGGAGGCCTTGTTGGTGACTCAAGGTTAGAGCCCAGCTGTGTTTATGAGGTGCATGTGCCTGCTTAGAGCCAGCTGTGCCCTAAGGTTCTCTGCAGTGTCTTGAGATGTTTCATTTAAGGCAGATGTATTAGGAGGTGGTGCTCTTGTTATTTCCTATTAGTATGGATGGATGGATAACACTGGGGAAAAAAGACATGAGACTCTGCAGAAACCCTTCCAACTTGGGTCCTAGATTGGGAAGCTATGATCATTGCAATGGGCAAGTAGTGTAAGGACTTTAATAAGGCAGCAGAAAGAAATGGCAGCTCCTGGGACACAGTTAAACCTTCCATGTTTGAGTATTGCTACAGGCAGCGAGAAGAGCACTCCCTAGTTCTCGTCCTCTGTCACTTGTAGTTTGCATTTATGGATAGCATCTGTCATATTGCAAGCATACTAAGAGGGGAAAATGTGGAGGTTTTGCACTGTAAATAAAAAGTGACTTAGTACACAGATTGCTTAAAATACTAAGGAGCGGGAAGATCTATGCTTTTTTTTTTTTTTTTCCTTCCTTATTACTCTGTTTACTGATTTGCTTGTAGGTGTGTGGAAGTCTTTTACATTTACTTCCGTGCTGGCAGAGTTGAAGAGCCCTATGTCAGCATCACGAAGAAAAGGCAGATGCCCAAGGATGGGTATTCAGAAGAAGTTGAGAAAGAAGTGGGCCAGGCTGAAGGCAAACTATGTACGCACAGGTCTGCATTCAGTAGGGCATCTGTGATCCAGGCGTTCCTTGGATCTGCACCCCAGCTCACACTCCAGCTCTACATCTGTGTCCTGCAGCAGGAGATCACAGCCGCCAGAAGTAGGTAGAGCTGTTGTTAACACTTCCATGTTTTGGTGGGAGGGAGAGGAGAAGAGTTGGCAGTCAGGTGTAGCTGCCCTTGACAAGAACTGAAAATATTGCAAAGGGTTCAGCTCCCTGGCAGCTTTTGATGATGATGTTGCACTCAAGTTCTTCTCTATAGCACCATGTTTTGCACTATGACACTTACTGTAGCATACTTTGGTTGCTATAGGAACGTTAATATGGTAAGTGACCATTATGGCAGGAGAGGTAGGCAGGTGGAGGGACTGAGCCATCTTCTCTGAAGAGAAGAAAAATTTACCTCTGTTGCCTTTTGATTTCTGGGCAAGCTTTCTAGCAAATTCCTGGGGGTACAATACAAAGTATACTTTGCCATGCTGCATTAAGGAAGAGGTACTTTAAGGAATGAAGTTTCAAATATATACTGAGGGCACAAGCTGGCTTTGCTTGTGCAAGCTTCTGAATTTGGAATCAAAAGGCAGGACTGAATAGCTCAATATTCAAGTGTGGCCATATGATCTCTGGACCCAAGCTCTCGAATCTTCACCAAGAAGTGCGGTACCACATGGACTTAGCAGGTCATATCTTTCTTACTGTGGGACTCTTTGCATCTTGCTCCATGATGTGCCCCAACTCCTTGAAAAATCTTGATTTGCTGGCCAGATACTAATAGCAGGATCTATTTCTGCTGGATTGCAGGACAACCTGCTTTCCTATATGAGATCTTCTGAGATCCAGTTTGCGGTGGACTGAGTATAGGAAGTGCTTTGGCAACTGTGCGAGCTTCAGGTGTCTCCCCACTGGAATACAATATAGCTCATGTAGCTACAAGGCCATGAGAGGCCAAGGATCTTCTTCAACTTCAAAGGTAGGGAGGCTGAGAACAGATAATGTGTTATGAACCCAGCTGTGTGGGGTCTTGTTTTTCTCTCCCCCCCTCCCCCCAATTCTGATGTCTTGATAGGCAGTGAACCAAAATAAAGACTTGAGGTTTTTGAATAAGTCGATACAGTAGTGTCAAAGTTCTCCCCTCAACTCAGGGAATGGAAAATCTTGGTGTGCCAAAGCATATAGAGGTATGGTGACAGCTTAAGTTCTTTACACAAGAAGTATTATTTAAGATTATGGCAGTAGACAATTGAAACACATTGCTCCTGACTGTGTCCAAGTGCCTCACGGCACTTTGCATAATTGCGGTGTCTGTGACATGGGAATAAGACCAGTGCAGTTGAATCTTTTGCTGAGCAGTGCCGTTAGCACACAGTTTCCAAGCAGTTCTCTGCAGATGGCATTTGCTTGAGAAAGGTCACCTTCTTACTGTATTTTTTCTATTGCTGGTGTTGACATTATTGTTCACTATTGCCAGGAGGAAGGGCTCTGTTCCAGATCATTAGAGAATTATGTATTTAATGATTATTTGTAACTTTGTATTACTTCTGACTTTCATCAGTCACTGCCCAGAGCAACTGTGAATTACAAACTGATGCATGACCTGTGGGTGAAGTTAAACATCCAGAGAGATTCTGTCTCACTAGGCAGTTCAGTGAATATGTGCATAGTGAGACAGAGGAGGACAGAACCCACCAACAAATGCAGGAGACATTCTGTGTCTCCCAGAAGCTACTGGCATAGCAGGTCCTGTGTAATTGTAAAATGCAGAAATCAAAAGAAAAAAAATAGCAATTTTTTTTTAGTCAGTGATCTACGAACAATAGCAAAGTCTGTTAGACCTCATTCATCAGAAAAACTAAAAAATGCTGTAGGAGGAGAGTATCAAATAAGATCCTAACACCGCTTTTCTCCGGACACCTGAAAATGAAACTAGCCCTGTAGTCGGAACAGAAGAGATTAAGACTGAATTGGAGAAGCTGAAGAAAAGCCACATTGCTTCACCAGGGCAGTTTTTAAATGAGTTGTACACACAGGTGTTTCACCAGCAGAGCAGTCTGACAGGCTGACTTCAATCTTTGCTTTGTATTAGATTTGCAATGTCATTCATCCCAAACCTTTTTTTCTCCCCGAGTTCTTCCATTTCTCCTACCTAGCATTCTGATACGTTTGTTGTTGTAAAGGGTGGATGTTCTTTCCAGTTCCGTTCTGGGCACGTGGTGAAACCAAAGCAGTCATCCTTGAACTTTCTTGTCATAAATATTTTCCTTTTGTATTTATTTTATCTTCTGAAATTTTGAAACTTTCTGTAGTCTCTTCAGCTGGCTTCTTTCTGCAGTGATACCTTTTGTCCACCAGTATCAGTTTCAGCTAGGCGTTTGTTATTTATATACAGATATTCTCATATATAGGGACATTCAGTAGTTTAGCAGCCAGTACAGCTCTTCTTCCATACTTCATCTGGTCGTCATCTTCCCTGTTCTTTGACATCAATCTTCCAAAGTGTGTGTACTTTTCCATTTGTCCTGGTTATAATATTAATCTCTTCTTCATGTCTTTTGATTTCCACGTTTTTTGTCTTGTCTCGTCATTAGTCTGGATTTTCTGGATTTCTACTCTAACCTATCCATTGTTCTCTGTAAATTCGGCTTAGTCAGTGGTAATGAGGTCGATATTATCTGTGAACATAAAGCTGTATACCATCATGCCATGTAGCATGGTTTATCCCTTTTAGATCTGCTTGAAAGTCATTATTGCTTCCAGTATCGAATTGAAGAGCTCTGAAAAGAGCATGCATCCTTGGCTAACCCTTTTTGTCAACCAGACCCATGCTGCATCCTTCTTGTATACTTTGTGGCACTCATGAATTTCCCTAGATGTTTTATTGGCTAATTAGATTCTTGCCCATGTCAGGCATTCTCCAAATTTGTCATATTACTGTCTGCTAGACCCACTGCAGCAAAGAGTGTAAGGTGAAGAGAGCTAAAGACAGTGGCAAAAGCAGGGCAAAGCCTCTAGCTTTGTGATGAAAGGTGTAATGGCTTCTGTAACTGTTTGGTGTGAAATGCATAAAAACATGGTTGGATAAAATGCAGCATTGGAAAGCCACAAATTGGGACCAAGTTCCTGACTTGTTACTCTGTGAAGTGCCTGATCTGAATTTGTAATTATTGCCACTCCCAAAATGGACATCTAAGTCTCTGTTGTGTATCTAGGCTTCACCCTGTACTGAATGCTTCAGCATCTATCAGTATCAGGCATTGTCTTAGAGCCAACTGCAGCCTTGTATTGAAGAGAAGACTGGCATCAGGCTCATGTCTGCTTATACAGTGTTGGACAGATACCAGGACCCCTTCATTTAGGTAATATCACCTGCAGAAGCCAAGGCCAGAAGGTGCTGGAAAGACGTGAGTCAGCATTAATTACAAAACTAGATGATTGGAAATAGCAGGGAGGATGCATGACTTGGCCTCTTACCCTTGAAAAAGGGCCAAGTCATCAGCCTGTAGTATTGAATGTGGAAGACTTGCTTCTGTTGAACAGTGATCCTTCTGTAAGTTTTAACTGTGCTGTTAACAGCAGTAAAGTTATTTTCTTCAGTTCTTGGTTATAGTGATAAAATCATCTCAAAAGGCGGATTTTCCACTGTTTAAAAATAAAATCATTCTGCTGAAAAAGGTGCATATTTTCTTTTTTAATGAAAATTTGTAACAGTGACTGACTGCCACCTCCAAGAACAGAAGTTTTACTTTTATGGTCTTTTTCAACGTAGTAGTTTCTGCAATATAACTTTTGTAATGAGCATAAACTCCACTTTTGGGGCAAAGATGAAGAGCCATTGAATGATTTCTGGATGTTCTTGCCATATATCTTAAGATGCTTCTACAGTTTTTCCTTCTCATCTCAGTGACCTTTGACCACAGAATGCTTTTGCATTGTATGAGCAACATACTTCATGTATTTTTGAGTACTAATTGTTGTTCTTAAGTGTTGAAATTCCATCTTAAAGGCAGAAATTTTGGTATCTAGGTGTCTTCCATAAGGAACAAAATAGGTGCCTTTATGAAATCTAAAATGATGATTCATTTTAGAAAGGTATAATAAATAAAATAGATAACTTACATTTCTTCACAGCTGAATATAAGATTTCAGTCATAGATATTTTGTGATATATCTCTTCTAGTGCTGAATTAACTTTCTTACTAGCTCTAAGGCGGAAAGACCAGGTCTTGAAAAGACTCAGGACATCATTTAAAAAAAAAAAAAAAAAGTATAACAGTGTCTCCCTACATGGTGCTGGGAGCATGCACCTCTCATTCCTAAGAAAAATACAGCTTTCTGGAAGTAGGAAGGAAAAAGAGGAATGCCTTTAAATCGTTATTAAGACAAATATGAGATTTAAAATACCTAAAATGAAATCAGGTAGTGAGCTTAATATTTCCCAGCTTATCAAACCAGAAGACACGCAGAGTTCCAGGACAGAAGCACTCAGGTCTCCAGATTTGCAGGGGTCAGGGGAATGTTGTTTGTTTGTTTGTTTTTAACTGTCAAAACATTCTTTTGCTGAATTAGTTCATAGAAGTTATTTGTTCTCAAATAGTTCTAGAGGCCGTTCCAAACTACAGGAAAGATTTCTGGAAAGAGTCACAGCATATCATTGGTATTCTTTACTGTGCTTGCTTGCTCTTCTGCTTTTAGCTGATATTTTTGATGCCATAATATTTAAAAATTCTCAGATCAGGTGCAGTGCTGTAAAAAAGGTGTTTAAAAACACACGCTAAAAAATGAAACATTAAACAAATGCATAATCATTTTCAGAGGGCATGTGCACCACCACACTGCCACGTATAAAATTACCATATAAAATGGCAAACATCTTTCAGCTTACAGGATGCTATTGGAAATTCAGATATAAAAGGTTTTTGTCTCCCCCTCCCCCTGAGCAATTCAGAGGTTTTTGAGGACTGGGGTGCAAGGGAGGTTAGCTAAAAGGATAGAGGAAATCCTGTTAGCAATTTTTTAGAGATCCTAAAATACGCTTATTTCTTTCAAAGTCATGCTCGGAGGTTAATAACTTTAAACAGGAGAAGCTGATAATCATGATTAAATAGCTATAGCAAAGCAAGGAATCCAGTTCATTCGTAGGATAATGACACTTAAACTGATTGAATGCAGCCCTGGTTGCTAAGCACTACATTAAAGTAACCGACATAATTGAGCATTGACAGCGCTGTCTTGTATCTGATGCAATCTAATGCTCTGTAACATGACCAATTAGCTTGGTCAATTCTGAAAGAAACTAGTGAATCATTTTTACTGTACTTTACTCATTTGCATTTGAGGTGTTCTTTGCATGGCAAAATGGCAAAGATTGAAGCTAAAAGGATTGAATGGGGTACCTAAAATTAGTCCCCTAAATCTGCTATTCAGCATGTCAGTAAGAATGGTGCAGGAAGTATGCAAATGCTAGCAAAACTGTGGATGGTTAGCACCTCTGAATGTCAAGATACTTCTCTTTGTTTGTTTTGTACATCTAGGGTTCTTATACTCTGTACCTACTTAGTTTGGAAACTCTCCCCTAATTTGTTCCTGCCTTCCAGTGTACTTTTTTATTCAGCATTTTTAATTCACATCTTATGCAGCATTCAGCTGTCAGAGTGCTGTAGCCCCAGAGGCTGTCCGTTGCTGGGTCTCAGCTGTGGTATGGTAGCTCAAAACTCTAGTCTCCATTTCTTTTTTGTTCTTGATGGAGAGACTCAGCTGGTAAATGTGCCCAAGAGCATTTGGGACAATGGTGTGGGCCTTTGTGTGGCAACACCAGGCATCCTGCTGCAGTGCCACAGGGCTTTGCCTCCGCTAGGCCGGAAGCCAGGTAACAGCTGGCCTCTGCAGTCACTTTTTACAGAATTTAAAAGCAGTGAAGCCTCTTCACCTAAAGGATTCTGGGTTGATGGGATATACCGAAAGGTGATCTTGGAGAACTACGTGATCTAAATTTAAAGAAATTTTTTAAAGGAAGTTTCTTTAAATGCATGATATGGGTAGGTGTAAGGAAAATGCAGTGTAGCCAGGTGAGAAAATATCTGTCTACACAGGCAGAAAAAGTGAAAGTGGTTCTGGGTATAAACTGCTGACCTGTGACTGTAGGCTCTGGCTTTCATTTTTGAGTTCCACCGCAGACCCGTTCTGTGTGCTTGAACAAGTTGCTTCAACCTAGAACTTCAAAAGCGTTGTGGTGTCTGCATGCCCAAATAATTCTTAAGAATTTCAGCTTCTGTCTCTCAGTGCTTCAGCTATACACAGAGTTAATAGCATTCCTCTGTGATGTGGAATACTGTGAGAATAATATTGAAGTTTGAGACTAACTCGTATATCCTTATGAATGAGCTGTATCATTTACCAAAGACAGTTTATGTACAAACAGCCATGCATGAGGGGAGACACTTGTGATTGTTCTATGCCTTTTGCTTTGCATCTGCTTGGAAAAGTAACAAATGGTGAAGAAAATGGGAGGTAGGGTTAGCCTGATAATCCAGAAGTGGATACAAGGAATGGCTCTTTTGGTGTTACGTGATGAAGACTCTCTGCATTACTGTGATACAATGCCTTTAACTTCTGCTAAGCTGGAGGTTCTGATCTGTCTTTTCTCTTTATAGGTGTTTTTATGGTCCTTTCTCTCTTGTCGATTGTATATGGCGCCTTACGCTGCAACATCCTGGCTATTAAGATTAAGTACGATGATTACGATGTCAGTGTGAAACCGGCTGCCTACCTCTGCATATTCATGTGGAGAAGCTTTGAAATTGCTACACGTGTTACAGTGTTGGTCCTTTTCAGTTCAGTCCTTCAAATCTGGACTCTCCCTGTTGTGCTGGTGAATTTTTTTGGTTTTTTCTTTTATCCCTGGATTCTCTTCTGGCAAAGCAAGTCCCCGTTTCCCGAGAACATAGAGAAGGCACTGAGCAGGGTTGGCACTACCATTGTCTTGTGCCTCCTCACTTTCTTGTATGCTGGCATTAACATGTTCTGCTGGTCGGCAGTGCAGCTGAAGCTCAATGATCCTGACTTAATTAATAAATCCCAAAATTGGTACCGACTGACTGTGTATTATATGCTGCGGTTCATTGAGAATGCATTCCTCCTGCTGATGTGGTACCTCTATAAAACTGATATCTACCTGTATATCTGTGCCCCGTTGTTGGTCTTGCAGCTCCTGATAGGTTACTGCATGGCTGTCCTCTTCATGTTGGTGTTCTACCAGTTCTGCCACCCATGCAAAAAGCTCTTCTCCTCCAGCGTTTCTGAAGGTTTGCTGTCCTGTTTCAAGTTCCTCTGCTTTGTTTGCAAGCCTCCCAAATCCACCATACTGATGGACAAAGCAGATCTGAAATCACCTGCTAATACTGATGAAGCCCGGAGCAGTAGCAAGACAATAGATTCTCAAAATGGGAATCCTCATCAGAGTGTTTCTTCCAATGCCTAGTACAACTGGTAGCAAGCAGGTGCCTTTGGAAGGTGCCAGATCACCTACTGGAAATGCTGTGTATCTTGGACATTGTGTCTTGTGGATGAGGTTTTTTTTCTTGCAGATGTAGCACTGCATGAAGACTGACAAGCCTACCTTTGTGGGTAACTTAAGTGCATGAGGGTATGTTATCTCTGTATGTGTCTGTGTATGCACACAGAGAGCAACCATTGTTTGTATAATTCTACTTCAGAGTTTTTTTGCACATAAGTATATTATCATTTGCTTATTTTGAAGTCATTATAGGAGACATCCTTCAAAAACTGGCCTGATGCTGATCTTACTCAGGAAATCTGAAGAGGATGGATGGAAATGCATTTTATTTCAGATAAGATGTCATTATGGCATGCCACCCTAGCATGGAAACAGACCGTAATCCTTGACTATATATTGACTGTAGCTGTGGTCTGCTTTGATTAAAGTGCAGACTTTTTTTACATTCTGATCAGTGTAATAAGATAGTACTTGTCTTTTTGACTTAAGAATTGGACTTCTGCAATTCACTGTAATCTAGGTTGCCAAGAAACAGCCAATTAGACACCACTAATACTGAAACGTGACTGTTACTGAGAATGGCCAGAGGGGTTATTGGTGTATGCACTCTTCTACTTCTTATATTTGCTGCTTGTTAGTAAGGGAATTAAATTTAGGACAGTAAATGTAAAATTCTGGAATAGCTCAGTCTCTTGACATCATCACAAATAAGGTTATTTGTATGTTATTCTGGTATAAGGGTGGGGTTCACTTTATATAACTTTAAATGTCTAGAAGTTGGGCAGATAGTATGAACTAGTGATGTAAGTACTCTCACTACATCTCCAGAGAATGATTCAACGCATCCTAAAATGTTGTCCTAGGCAGGTGATATGAATCATTCCCTGGAGAGCTATTACTGTGTTGACCAGGTGCCTTGAGAATTAGTTTAGACTAGACATGTCACTTTTAGATGGCTAAAATTAAGAGAGACAAGTGCCACTCTGATTGTCAGGGGTTTGGTAGTGCAGCGAGCAGGGAACTCAGTGACTCGTCATGTGGAGACAGAGGATCTTGAGTCCTTCTTTTTGAGTCTGTGATATATTATATTAGTTTGATATCAGTAATTTAAAACACCCTGGCTTCTTTACCTCAGAAGTACTGCAGGTTTGAAATCTTCTAAAAGAGGAACCAGAAGGCATTGACTTTTTTTCTATGCACTATATTACCACAATTAATTAAAAGCGTTTCTGTATTTTGTAAGTTGCTGATAAAGTTTTAATAGATGGACACTCGAGAAGTACCATGTAGTGGAAATGCACAAAACCAATTGTATTTTAAAAAGTAAGTGAAAGTTTTTTGCACTTTGTTTGCTCAGCACCTTGCATTTCTTCTGAGTTTTACACCTTATGGCTGCTAGTGGAAACAAATAATTCCTGAACCAAAGCATCTTTTATTGTCCTCAATTTAGCCTCCATCCTACCTTTATGGAGGACGTGAAGTTCTTCAGAAGAAGGGATTTCAGCATCGTTTTACTAAAAATGTCACAAGTCGAGGATCGAGGTAATTTATAATGAAATATGTCATATGCAGTGCTGCAAAGATCTAAGCTGTTTTTATTGTTCTTTACTGCACTATAAATGAATGTCTTTGCACTTCACTTTTATAGTGGAGCTGTGTTTTTTATTTTGCTTAACGTGTGTGTGAGTGTGATATGTGTATGCAGATCTCATTAAATTATTGGTGGATGGTAATGGGAGTTTTTGGCCTGAGCTTGCCAGGGGAATGTACCTAAAATATCTGGTGAAAACACCAAACCTTTCTGTTCTCATTTCATTCCCTGAAGAGGTTTAAAATAGTAGAGTAATTCCTTGGAGTCACTACAGTATTTCTCTGTACTTTTCTATATGTAGAAGAGTTTTTTCAGAAAAAATGTAATGATGAGTTAAAGGAACAGGTGAGAGCTTGGAGTTGCCTCCAAACCTACACATTTTGGTAGAGAGTTAGATTGAGCATCTAACTTTATATTTGGACACACATTGGTAATCAGGGAATTATGGTTCAGGTGGCCAAATAAATACAGATGTACCTAGGTCTGAAATTTCAGCCTTTGAGAGCGAGAGAGGTTCGTATGTAGAGGTATTTCATATCTAAAGAGATAGCTCTTGAAATCTTTAAATCAGAACTTGGACACTGTAAGCAGTGCTGTGATTGTGATTTTGCCATTTGGAAACAGTACAATCTCCACAAAGTTCAGTCAGTGAAATGTTTATGCTATAGTGAAGTTAACAGTAGGAGAGCTACATCTAAGAGTCCAGTATATATGCACAGTGAGTACCATTTAACTTCACCTACCAATGATGAAGACTGATGTATATGAATATTTTTAGAGAATGTGCCATATTACTTCCTATTTTTATACCAACCTCCTGCCATGCATGTGTAGGATACTGAATATTTAAATCATTATTATGAAAAAAAGTATGGGTTATATTACTATCCTATGGTTTTACCTTAGTTGTATCCGTTAGCCAAATACATTTAGAGTAACAGTTCAAACACTCCATCAGCATGAGTGCCATTGCTTTTGCTGTGCCTCATATCACCATGGCATCAAAGGCAGATTAGCTGATAGTATTGCTGCGCTATGTATGTTTTGATCTAGCTGTGCTGCCATTGCTAGTAGAAAGACAGTGTGAGATGGAGTCATAGAGACAAAGACATTCTGTTGTGTGAAAAACTAGTGTTTTAAAGGACAAGCTTATTTTTTTGAAGTGTGCCATACAACAAGGAGAGGCAGTCCTTTCATAGGATGGTAACAGTCTAAATGGTGTTACTATCAATTCACCCATTGGCTGCATTGATTAAAAGGATAGCAGTAGCTGCAAAAGGTGTACATGTATGTATGAATGATGTCTTGCTGTAGTTTTACTCTGCTCTATACATGCTAAGAGGCATAAGAATTCACTAACGAGTATAGGGCTAATGTTAAAAACTTTACTCGCTTGAATAATCCCGAGTCACCCAAAGGATTGCTCAGTAGGGATTGTTCATGTATACAACAGGATGCAACATCTGGTACGTAGGTATTCTTTTATACTTGTAAAACAACACGAAATTAAAATGTTGAACCACTAACTTAAATTGTGTTGATTGAGCTCTCTTAAGTTGTGTGAACGAGCTCTCAGGGCTGCCCTGATCAGAGGGAGTTGGGGCTTTTGTTTCAGGTGGCTCCTGATTGGGTGGGTCAAGCACCCTTGTGAGTCGCTGCTAGGCAGAGGCCTATATAAGAGCCAGGCCTAGAGCGCAGCTCCCAGAGCGCAGCCAACAGAGGCAGCGAACAGACGCAGCAGTCGGCGCAGAGGCAGCGAACAGACGCAGCAGTCGGCGCAGAGGCAGCGAACAGACGCAGCAGTCGGCGCAGAGGCAGCGAACAGACGCAGCAGTCGGCGCAGAGGCAGCGAACAGACGCAGCAGTCGGCGCAGAGGCAGCGAACAGACGCAGCAGTCGGCGCAGAGGCAGCGAACAGACGCAGCAGTCGGCGCAGAGGCAGCGAACAGACGCAGCAGTCGGCGCAGAGGCAGCGAACAGACGCAGCAGTCGGCGCAGAGGCAGCGAACAGACGCAGCAGTCGGCGCAGAGGCAGCGAACAGACGCAGCAGTCGGCGCAGAGGCAGCGAACAGACGCAGCAGTCGGCGCAGAGGCAGCGAACAGACGCAGCAGTCGGCGCAGAGGCAGCGAACAGACGCAGCAGTCGGCGCAGAGGCAGCGAACAGACGCAGCAGTCGGCGCAGAGGCAGCGAACAGACGCAGCAGTCGGCGCAGAGGCAGCGAACAGACGCAGCAGTCGGCGCAGAGGCAGCGAACAGACGCAGCAGTCTGCGCAGAGGCAGCGAACAGACACAGCAGTTTGCACAGCAGTTCGCGCAGAAGGGCGCCAGAAGGCAAAGAAGGCACCTCTCCATTTTGCACAGTGGTGTGTCCTTCCCCGGGGCATGGTCATGACATGCCACAGAGCACGTTCCCCAATGGCTGCGGGAGGTGCTGCATCAGCTGTGTCTGAGGCTTCAACCCAGACAGACCCTCAGACAGCAGATGCAGCTCTGCAGGTGTCAGGCTGCGGGGAGTGCCTGGGGCCTCTCCGCGAGGCCTGGGCTGACAGACAGCTC